AGTAAGAACCAGCCGAAAAATATGGTTTTCAATAGGGGAAATGATCCGATGCAGGCCTATGTACTTCCTCACTGCCGCTTTCCTAGACCCAAAAGAAGCTGTTATGAAGTGACCAAGTCAAGATCCGAACTCTAACTGTATTCTGTTTTCCACGGAAGAGCTAGCATTTCGTATAATCCACATTCCAGTAAAGAATCCCACCAAATAGTGGATTTGGTTCACAATATGTATGGCTCAACTTGAAAGCCCTGAAACTGTATTAATAATTCCATGTCAATAAAAAGAATGCCAGTATAGACTTCATAGCTACCCATCAAATTACTAATTCCTCATGTGGTTCGAGAGCTATTTTGCTGGAGTTGAGAAAAGAATTGAGAAGTTCCAAAACCTTTGACGCACCATTTTTTATACAAAAATCGCTTTTTTTAATCGCTATTCTCCTTTTTGTTCTATAGTCAGAACTAGCCGAAAAGATGGTTTTTATCGGGAAATGACCGATGCAGGCCTACCTCCTCACTGCCGCCTTCCTAAACCCAAAAAAGAAGCTGTTATGAAGCGACCAAGTCAAGATCTAAAGTCTAATTGAGTTCTACATCCCACGGAAGAACTGGCATGTCGCTCAACCACATTCCAGTTAAGAATCCCACCAAACAATGTGATTTAGTTCACAGTGTGTAGGGTTCGACTTAAAGCCCTAAAATTATTTTAATAATTTCCATGTCAATAAAAACGATGCCAGTATAGAAATTCATAAGCTACTCATCAAATTACTAATTTATCATGTGGATTCGAGAGCTATTTTGCTGGAGTTGAGAAAAGAATTGAGAAGTTTCCAAACCTTTGACGCGCCATTTTTTATACAAAAATCGCTTTTTTTAATCGCTATTCTCCTTTTTGTCCTTTTTGAAAAATAGTATTGCTCAACGTATTCTGCACTTGATTTTGTATACTATCCGGCAATTGTCTATCGGCTGTGCTAGCTCAAAAATAATTTTTTTCCATACTTTCGACCGCTACTGTACATGCGATTGAAGAGACATTCATAGACGCAGCAACTGCTCATGTGTGCTATTAGTGGTCAATCTGTGCGTGCTGCCAGGTAGACTTCAAAATTAACTAGGTGTTTTTGTTAATGCAGCGAGTACTGCAGCATTCACTACGACCAGGTTCATGCTACAGTATTTAGTGGCATCCGGATGCACATCACGTTCATGGCGTTAGAGCCCTTCATTAGCAGCGAGTAGAAGCCTTGAATGAGGTTCATCGCAGCTTGTATCGTCTTTGCCGATGGGAGCTAGCAGCTCACTATACGATCAGTAGCCGATACTGGATAACTGGATCAAGCATAGAGCTGATGGTCTCTACTTCCTTTTGCTAATAGTCTATATTTTATGTTTGTGGAGCGTACGTTCGTAGTTGTTATTGATCTATTGTGACTCTTATTAGGTCACCCCGTTCTCGCTTCTCGAAACATTATGGCTAGAGCTCCTGAAGCATTCTTCAACATATTTCACATTTTCATTTGAGAGAAAAAATATGAGTTCAGACAGAACAGGTGGGAAGTTTTAAGGCATCTCATACCTTTTTCTTCTCACAGCCTATCATTTTCGCTAGCTATTATCTATAGTTGGCTCGTCGAATTAGGCGTTATAGTGCTTTCTGAATTTTCTTATCTAGTTGTATCTATTATAGTTTCGTAGCTACCATTCCTCCGAATATTCCACCATATTTCTTCTTTTGATCCTAATTCTCGATCAGATGTGCTATAGAGGGAAATGGGGCCAGATACCGTGGCTGCGGTAGGGATCAAACCTTGGTAGATTATTGCTGAATTCAGCCAAGCATCCAGTCTTTGTTAGGGAGTCATCGACATCAGACACGCCTATTGTGTGAGGAGAAGAAACCATCATCGAACGGCCCGCATGCTTTTCTATAGGCTAAATCGCGGAAGTGGTGTAGTGGCAAGTGGCACGCTTACCACGCGAGCGGTCCGGGGATCAAATCCTGGGTCGTGAGTCGCCCGGGCCAACCAAGCCTTCCATCCCTCCGGGGTCGGTTAATTGGTACCAGACTTGTCTGGGAGGATAAAAACACTGACTTGTACATCGGCTGGCCCCAAGTCATTGTATAGGCCACATCGCATTCAAACGCCACTACGAATGTACAAATGGAAGTAATTGGGGTTGATCCATAATTCTGGCCGAATTTTTTCAGAATCAATTTTCTTCATGTCAAATTAGTGTCATTACGAAATAAGTTAGTATGTTGAAGGAGGCATCAGTACCTTAAACTAGGATGTTCCAGAAGGTCAAAGGGCAGTGGAATAAGTAAGGGATCGAAATGGATCAACGACCAAAGCAGGCGATTATGCTTAACGATCATTTAAAGAAGAACCTTGCAAGGAGTGCAGTAGGCAAGACCAGCGCTGTGTTGCCTCAGTCTTTGCTACTGATCGGGCACTGGGCTATTGGCTTGAAAGCATCGGCAAAGGCGATACAAGCTGCAAAGTTTGACCTCATCCTAAGCCCCAGTCACTTTCGATGAGGATCCATTGCGCTGTGAATCGGAAGTTCACCCGGACGCTACCACCTGAGATTTGTAGCAGATACCTGGGCACAGCCGATGCACCACCGCAAGCTGTCTGAATGAAACGGGCTGTAGCAGAATGAAGTTTCGATGGGAACGGCATGCATCTCTGACCATGACCGAGAAGCAGACCTGACCATCTGCAGAAATTTCATTCTGCGAGGCATAGCCTGGACTTTCCCTAGTCGGTCACCAGTGGAGATGAGTCATGAGTCCACTACGACAACAACACGCGGCACGCCTTATGGCTATCCTCGCAGCCTGGACCCACCATCTCACCCAAAACCCGACCTCTTTCGTCAGAGAATATTACCCCCATTTGTAGGATTGGTCGGGTATCCCACTTTGAGAACCGCTTCATCTTATATAGACAACCACTGCGAAGATAACCATGGAATAACTCCCGAGGTTGGCCGCAGCAGTGCGAGAGAACCATTCGAAACGTCTCAAAATCTCCTTCCTCCGGATGAACGCCCGACCTTACATTGCGAAGATAACTCGCCACCTTCTGAGGGAAACTGGCTGGATCGCGATACCACATCTATCGTATAGCCCTAACATTACTTCATCGCACTATCCCCTTCTCGATGCCCTGAAGCAGTACCTTCGAGAGAAAGGGGTCACTGAATACAACCACCCAAAAAACGACCTCTCCGAACTCTTCATCCCATAGCTCCACTCGTTTTGAGAGGAATGCATCCATTCGCTGCCTAGCAAATGAATGCATATCAGCGATTATGATGGTGGTTATATTGTTGATCAGTTATTCTCCAGGAAAGAAAAAACTCAATGAAATGAAAGTGTCGAAATTCGGCCAGAAATTATGGATCAGCCCAATATAAACCCCTAACCTCTTCTATAATCATCCTTTTACATCCTCTGCTTTACAAATTCTGAACCTGAGGGAGCCCCCAATACGGCAGCGTTGGGTAGGACCGCTCGGGAGAGGCTGCTAGAATCTCAGGGCCCGGATAGGCTGCCTAAACGAAGAAGGACTAAGATGGCGATCTGTACTTTCAACGCACGAACGCTTGCATCCGAAGCTCACATCGAAGATCTGATGATGCAGGCCAGGAGATCAAGTACGACGTCATCGGACTGACCGAGACGAGAAGGCACCGCCCGCTACACGCCGTTTTCGATACTGGAGAAGAACTGTTCCTTGGAACATGCGACAGCAGAGGCGTTGGCGGTGTGGGTGTCCTCGTCAACACGCACTTGGCCATAAACATCGATTCGTACGAAAGCCTTACGACCCGAATCGGACGTTTGAGATTGAGAAGATGTGGTTCAACTCCTGCTTTGACAATCTTCGTCGCCTACGCACCAACATCCAGCTACGACGAGGAGGAACAACACGAAGCATTCTTATATGGAATTGGAGAAGTTCTACAGGGAAGACCATACCTTCTTCAAGGTCA